CTGAGTGTACACAGTTCATAGAAAATTAAAAGGGTTCATATCAAATATAACTCATAGGATTATTCAGAAGTGTTATCAAACACAGCTGCAACCATTATCAACGTATAGGTTTGTTGATCAACAGAAAAATATTCACCAAATATTTTGATAATAGAAAAATCATTAGTAAGTAATTTTGAATACAAAAATATTAGAGAATGCGTTTCAGCCAGTTTCGATTCCCTTGTTTTTTCTGTCTTAATCTTGTTTTAGATTTTCCTCAATCTGACAACATGTACCCCTCCCTCATCAACCTTGAAGTGTAGCCCCAGTGGCAGCCCAGCCCAGAGGCCTGTACTACGAAGCTGGTTCAACCTAACCTGGATATGTTTGAGTTAGCCGGTTGGCCTAATCCAAAACATTCTCGCTAAGCGGTACTACGACGCTGGTTATCAAGTGGATCGCTCAAGCCAGCCGTGCCCTATCTAGTTAGGTGCGCGTTCACATGAAAGGGGTGGTATCTGGAGCATTCGACCAATCACAAACATGGAGAAGCGTACTGACAGCGCAGCGTCATACTTCCTGAATGAAAAGTGAACTATAATATTAGTAGTGCTGTAGCGACGCGTCGACTTCAAAATATCGTCAACGACATATTTCCGCGTCGAGGCGTCGCTACACACACGTGGGTCACCCAAAGCAACAAGCAGTTCGCAATCGCACTTCAAACACAATGGAGACTGAAACGGCTACCACCTCCTCCTCACAGGATTGCGCACGAAGCCCCCAAACGAAAACATCTCGCCCTAGGTCTTCAAAAGCATGGGAATATTTTAAAGTTAGTCCAAAACGCAAAGATATTTATATATTTATATCTCACTGAGACTGCTGCATAGCCTAGCAGAAGCAGCAGCTAGCTGTGGTGGCTACCATTAGCAGCTAGCATTTGCTCTCCGATTTTTACATAAAATGGAATTATGGATTATAAATTCAATTATTTTTTTATACATAGACGTTAAAAACCTATGGATTAACCGATTCAGCCGCGTTTTTTCTCATTTTAATGCCATTGAACACGTCTTTTGATCAGATTGACAGCTACTTGTGAGACAATCTCCCTAGAAGCTCTGTAAAGGTACGTGTTGTGAGGACTGTATTTGCTTCCCCTGTCGCGAGTCCGGATCACTCAGTGATGATACTATCTACCTACATCATCTGTGGACTCTCAGCTTTAATCGGATATATTGTATGTGCAGCTACGATAAGTAATAAGGGTACTTTTATCTTGAGTTCTGTGCCAATGTCCGTTAGCATTTTTCGCTCAGGGGTCATTTAGATGCTTCTTATGAGACTTGTGTTTTGTTTTGGTAAACATGGTTTGTATCGTCAGTTAGCTGAGATTATTTCCGTTAATCTGGTATAACACATTAATAGGTTCTTAAATATTAAGATCCCCTGAGACACAGTATCGTGAAACATTTTTTTTTTACATTACGTTTTTTTTACATTACGTTTTTTATGAATTGAACAACAGAAAAATAATCGTTAGATTAGTCGACTAATCGATCAAATAATCGCCCGATTAATCATTTTCAAAATAATCGTTTCCCCCCAGCACTAAATATTAGACATATGAAGAAGTTAAACTTTAAACATCCATGACTTAAACACTTGATCCAGGATCAAAGCCACAGAGCTGCACCTGCAAGGTGAATACAGCTGGTAACAGAACAAGTGTTTGAATGCGTACTTTAACAGGTTTGAGATCACTGCCCGTCTAAAACACGATCTGACTTTAATTACATTTGACTCGAGTGTTTCCTCAACTTAATGTGTTGCTTAAAATAATACTTCTGCATACAGTATGTGACACTGTGAGTGTTGCACGGCCAGATACGGCTCAGCTGACTCAGATCAGGAGATATATGATACATTATGAAGTGATATGCCGCGGACTGTACTTAATGTTACTCTGATCCGGTTACTTATGTTGTGGCAGATATTTAAGTAAGCTTTCTTAACGCTAATGTTATAATAGTCAGATTGCTCTGAAGATGGAGGTGATATTCTATTAATGTTCACGTTCACACAGTCGGTGATTTTTGCCGGCCGTCTTTCCTGCGACGGCAGCTTTTCTGTATTTCCTTTCTCCTGTAATATGACTTGATCGCTTTAAACTCCGCACACTGAGCTCTGATTGGTCAGCAGGCGGTGCTTTCACTGAGTTGATCTCTTAGCCTGCAACCTAACCTGCTCCGGAGCAGGTTAGCCGCAGGTTAGTCAGCATAAGCTCAGCGTCGTAGGACCGGAAACCCAGAGTTTTCCCTGAAGTTAGCCGCTAAGCAAAAATCCGGCTTCGTAGTGCAGGCCTCAGGTCGATGAGGGAGGGATACATGTTGTCAGATTGAGGAAAACATTCACTAGGAGAGTGTTCTTGACTAATAGAATGAACTCCGGTGGTTGGAGCTTAAAATAAATCAATTTGAAAATGTACATGGCACTAAGGACCACCCTAATTTACATATGACAAATACTTTAAACTGCATTTTTAAAGTGGAGAGCTGTGCGGATTTAAAAGAGGTAGTGTGGAGAAGAAATGTGCAGGATTTAAAATCCTTATTTAATTTAAATTAGAATTGAGTCTGATAACCAGTTAAATAAATGGACATTACCTACTCACAAGTATAACAAAAATAAAGCAAATTCTTTAACAAAGTAAATGTAACTTTGATTAAATTACAGAATCTGAAAACTTGGAATCCAGTCGTTCATCTTTCACATTCATTTTATTTTCTCTGCTTCAGAAACGGAGAGCATTTTGGGACGAGTTGCAGCCGGGACAATGCTGTTTGTTTTTTCCCTTGAAGGTGCACTTGTACATTTATTCTGTATATTTTAAAGATACTTTATTCTTAGTTATATGTTTTCATGCTGGAGTGTTTTGAAGGTACAGCATGCAGAAGCAGTTTGTGTTCGGAGAGTTTAAGAGACGTTTGGATGTTTCTGTTTGATTTTGTTGAGAATGAATCTCTTACGACCTGTTAAAGAATGAGATGCACATATTCAGAGGAAGACCTATTTTGTTATTAAAAAGAAGGGGAACAACTGTCTATCCCTTTTTGTGTTGCAGTCTATAAATATCAGAACATATATTTCCTCTCCTCCCGCTGTGCACATTTCAGACTCATTATCTCTCTGTTATTGAACTTTATTCTGACCCTCTCCCGTGTGAGTCAGAAGTCAAACGCTGAGGAAGATGTTGACGTAAACGGTGACGCTTGGACACCCTGAAACGTCATCCCACTTCCTCTTCCTTCTGAGGCAGCTGCTTTAAAGGAACATTACATACCTGGGTGTGGAAACAAAAAAGAGAACTCAGAAAAATACTTTGCCAAGAACATAAATATTAAATGAGAAACATATTTAAATAAACATTACAAAATAAGATTTACACATGTGGGGGAAACTTCTGAAGCAATTGGAAACAGGACTCAGAGGCACGAGGAGAGCTGGAGCTTTGATGGCAAACACTGACGGTTTATTTGGAGTTACGGCCAGAGAATTGACGAGACAGCTGGTGCGTCACGAGTTGACACAACGGCTGCCAAACCAATTCTGAAGAACTCCTTCTGCAGCTCGAGGTTTTAACTAGTTCAGAGTGTAATAATCAACATTCTTCATCAGTGAGACTAAACATTATGGACCCTGAATCTATAGAGCTCTCGTCCATAGGAAAGAATGAGCGCCAGGGAGCCTACGTCCCTGAACTGTAAACTACCTCATGGCGGCTTGTGCTCGGTCACAGACTGGCAGGGCCGTTTCTAGCTTTTTGGGGGCCCTAGTTGTTACAGTTTTTGAACTACAATGAATGTAGCCTTTTAAGATGATCTGTGGAGATGCATCTGTTACACTTTAAGAGAAAAACAGGCTAATTTCACGAAAACCAATTGAAACTTACAAAAAAATATATTAAAAAAGGTAAACAATAAGGCTCGTCAATACATGCAAGAGATGCAGCATTTTCTCAACAATATATAATTTACATTTTTCATCTTGCTCAGACGTCACTGATTGGGTGACAGCCCAACGATGTTTTGGACGTTATTACCCACAAACCCAAGCCACAGCTTTTGCTATCATTGCAGTTTGGTGTGTTTATATCCTACATTTGATTTGTAAGCATATAATGCTTCACCGAACACAGGAGGGGGCTCGGCTGTCTACAAATAAAGACGGCTAATTTTAATTCTCCCCAAATATATTGAGGCTGAACCTGAACTTTCAGCTTGGGGGCCCCCTAGTGGCCGCGGGGGCCCTATGTGTCTGCATAGTCCGCCAATAGGAAGAAACGGCCCTGTAGACTGGCAACAACAATGCGCCCAAGCTGCCCCTCCTTTTGAGAGATAGCAGCAATACCCAAGGCCGTAGACCTGTGCCGTGAGAAAGGAGACAGTGAAGAGAGAAAACGATGAACTGTGTCGAAGGTTGAATACCTAAGCACATTATTCCCAAACAACATATATATATATGATAATGCAGTTTTTTTTAATATAGTGCTTTTCACAACTCAAAGACGCTTTACAGTATGAGGGAGGGTAGACAAACAAGGACAGGCAAACAAGTAAGTAAAAAATAAAAAGTCAGTCAAGAGGAAGTTGATTGAGAGGGGGGGGGGCTTATGGGTAGACAGAGTTGAAAAGATGTGTTTTGAGGCGGGACTGAAAGACTGTGAGGGACTCAGAGTCACGGAGATCTTGGGGGAGGGGATTCCAGAGCCGAGGAGCTGCCACTGAGAAGGCTCTGTCCCCAAAGCTGCAGAGTGGATGTGGGAATGGATAGGAGTCCGGCTGCGGTGGATCTGAGGGACCGTGGGGGTTGATAAGGAGTGAGAAGGTTTGTGAGATAAGGGGGGGCCAGATGGTGGAGTGCTTTGTAGATGAGGACCATATATGCACATACATATATATATATATATATATATATATATATATATATATACACACATACTTAAAAATGTGATGTTAACATAACGCATTTATAAAAATGTGAAGATATTCATCTAAAATTTAGTGGGTTTTTAACATGAATATATTTATAAAAAAGAATTGGTCACAAATTGAACTTCTGATCGAAGTGGATGCACCCAAGTTTTAAAAAAATCACTTCCACCAAATGTCCTTCCTGTGTGCCGGGCGGAGGTCTCTCTCCTCTGACCTGGAGGTGAATCGCTGCTTGTCTCATTATCAGCGGGTAAATATCCTCTCTCTGACGTCAGCGCTGCTCACATATAAAATCAAATCCTTCATCTCTGAGACACCTCCGTGTTCAGAGGACCGTCTGAGGCGTCCTGCGTTTCCCAGTGTCCGAGTCGATCAGCGGCATCATGGTGAGTCGAAGGATTCTGCTCCTCAGCGCCTCCTGCTGGCTGCTCGTTGCGTTCGGAAACAGCGAAGAGCGATCGCCTGAAGACGTCATCATTACACAAGAGGAGCGAAAACTGGTGAGTGAAGAAACCAACAAATATACAGAAGCCCGTTTCCGCCGATGTGATTATAAAAATGTAATTCTGGACGTTATAAAAACATTTCTCAAAATAATAAAAACTTCCTCAAATTTGTTTTAATTAATTTTTTAAATAACGATGAGTTTTTTTATTTAGTTTTCATCTTATTTTTACTGTTGAAAAACAAATATTCCGAGATGTTAATCCTGTCGAGAGGACTGGATACAGATGCTAACCACTATATTATTTAAAACATATTAATTGTTTTTAAGTAGGTTTTCAAATGTAAAAAAATACCAAATATTAAAAGCAAACCAGTGTGAATGGGAAACATTAAAAACGACAACATAGACGTCATCATTGAGAGGAGCGAGATTTGGTGAGTGAAGAAAACAAAAAACGGTTCATACAGAAGCCCGTTTCCCGTTGTGGTAAAACACATTCTGGAAGTACTTTTTTGTAGTTTTTTTTCTGCACAAATATAGACATACATGGCTAAATAATCTGAAACCCCCCCCAAAAGGTTTTTTATTATTCAAAGAAAGTCTTTAAATATAACGTCAAGTATTATTAAAATTGTGTTTCTTCTATTTGACTGGTGAAAATCAGGTCAAGAGGGACTAACGATGTTATCCAATATATTATTTGTTTTATTAGAGTAGGTTTTCAAATTGAAAAAGACATGATTAAAAAAACATTTACATTATGTCCGACTCAAAAGTGGAAGAACAGTGATGAGATGTCTCTGACTCACAGAACGTAATGAAGCTGCAGACGCGTTGAATGTTGAGTATTGTCAATAAAGCATATGGTCTCGTTTCTCTCCTCAGATTGAAGCTCTACAGGAAGTCTTGGAGCGATTAAAGAACAAACAGCTGCCGTCGTCAGAGAGGAAGCTCGGCTGGCTTCCTGCAGTAAGATCTATTATTTATGTATCTCTTAAAGGTAGGGTAGGTAAGAATGTAGAAACCAGCTCGAGTGCGCTAGAATTTGAAATCTGCCCCTCCTTCAGACTTCTTTACAGAGCCCCTCCTCCAACACACACGAACGCGCACATGACCAATGAGGGCACGAGATAAGTTTGTGCACAAGGCTGACAGGTAGGCCATCCAGTTACTTTAGCCGGGCCGGCTCAGATGATTGGTCGCCACGGATGAGATATTTTAATGGATCTTTTGTCAAAGCACTTCAGATATTCATTGCTATCGGGATGTTAAGAGCATTCCATGGAATATAACAAGTGTTTCTGAAGTGAATTACCTACCCCACCTTTAACAAACCTGTAATTTCCCTCAAACGGTTCTACAGGTCTGCATGGGTCCACTTAGTTATGGATCTGTATTTGATCTCTGTCTCAATGTTACGATGTATTAGAGCTGAGAGCAATAGGATACAAGTATATCAGAAATCAGGTTTATCACCAGGTAGGTTGACACGAGGAATTGGACTTGGTGTTGTGGTGCATACATACAAATAAAACAAAAATTAAAAACACACATATAAAACTATTTTAAGATATGCTTTACGATGCTCATGCTCTACATCTCATGAGTTGTTGCAGCAGTTTTTGAGTTCCCATTATGTATCACACGGATATGGTGCATGATTTGGTCTTAAATATGTATTGTACTCGGGATCCAGGAGAACAAATGCTCCATGAATGTACACCTGCTTTATTTATTCTGTGTGTGTCTGTGCGTATGTGTGTCAGTGTGATGCAGGGGAGCAGTGTGCGGTGCGTAAAGGCGCGAGGATCGGGAAGTTGTGTGGATGTCCCGGAGGAACCGTCTGTGACTACATCGTCCTCAAGTGTCTGTAGCAACTTCCTGTCATTCTGAACTACAAAATAAAGGCGGCTTTTTCAAAACTCCACTTCTCTTTTTTATTCTGCTAAATCTTAATGAAACATGAAAGTAACTAGAAAAAGATCAGAATAAAACGCATCATTTAAATAATTAAAATAGGATAATTTTACATTTGTTGGCCCATAGGACACTCTCTTCAGGTAGCCTACAATGTGGTTTTACCTTTTGGAAAAAGCCCCATTTAAACACAAGATCTTGAGGTTTTTAACAAAGTAGATCTTATTGTGAAAAGCCTAATATTTACCCAAAAGGATGTGACATGTACAATGAATGCTTATTCAGGGTGTCCGCGGGGTCTCAAAAAGTATTACAAGTTGATAAATCAATGTAGCGAAAATTAAGGCTATTAAAAGTATTAAACGGCATTTTCCAAGGTATTACATTTTGTAGCTTGTGTTCAATAAGTATATAAATGGTCCAAAGAGGTTGTATTCTACAGTCTGCCTGAATGTAATCATGGCGTAGGTGTGTAGTGTGATTCTGTGTAGTTTATTGATGGCATCCCGTTGGGTTTGACGTCATCTGAACAGGACATCGCACGCTCACTGCTTGATAGCGCGAAGGTCCGTTTACGCCGGTTGTTAAACAACATCGTTATGGGGAAATGCAAGTCTGCGTCCAAATGGTTGGAAGATAAGGAGGAAGGACAATCAATACTGTATATAGTCAATGTGAGGTAAAGTGTGTCGCCAAGGTAACCGGTTAAAACTCCAAGTGGAGATGAGGTCTAAAAATGTATGGAAAGGGTCTAGAAAAGGTATTACATTCGACTTCAGGATTCCTGCTTATACCCTGTCATGCCCGGCGCCGTGGGAGGGCCAGGCCCTCCCATTTGACATTCCTGCCCTCCCCCAAACACGTTTTTTAAATTATTTATAACAATTAAGAAAAATATTATTTTTTTAAAATTATAAACTGTGAACTTTTATGCTACGATGTATGTGATGTCAGAACTATAATTTAAAAAATCGCAGGCGCCATGCTACGTCAAATAAATGCATGTGTCTGTTGTGATTTGTGATTCGTCCCCATATAGACCAATCACAGCGTCACACTCTGCCGCCTATTCTGGATTTGTTTATTGTGCATTCTGTAGACTCCCATTTCTGTTTGAATTACAAAATGGACATCAAAAATTGGCTTAAAAGCTCTAATGATTTATTAAAACGAAATAGCGATGAAAGAACTGCAGCCGATGGTGCTGCTGGCGAGCACGCCTTAATGTCACAAGCTTGACCTCGGCAAACCCCGGGGCTGAGTTAGCGATGATCTTGGGGTTAATAAACCCAACCAGGTGAAGCTGGATCGTTATCCAGGGAGATTGTTTTCAGGAAAGAAGCGCACTCTTGCCGCTGCATGATACAACAACAGACCGTGGCTTGAAGATTTGTTAAAAGCAGACGCAGCCTTTTGCTTCCCCTGTAGACAGTTTAAAGTAAACACGTCTTCATCTGATGCGGCTTTTACTGTCAAAGGTTTTTGCGACTGGAAACACGCATTACAGACTGATAAAGGACTGCTAAGGCATGCCGCATCAAAAGAACACATTTCATGTGAGAGTGTGTGGAGAGAGAGACAGATACGCGAGGAATCAAATAAGGAAATTAGTACTTTGGTGCAGATCAGCTGGCACGGAGCCGTTATTACGTGTCAGCTGTCGTTGATATTATAGTTTTTTAGCAGTCAACCAACTCCCTCTCAGAGGTGACCACGATGCATGTCCGAGTGCAGTGCATCGGAACATAAACCATGCCCAAGGCGGGCTAAACAGTTCAACGTCTCCGTCTCTACTATTTCTCTCCGAGTGCAGCGATGAGGAAGCTGCCATCCGTAACCAGTGTGCCTTGCTCGTGATTTACCAGTGTATGTGCTGCCACGCAAACAATGTTTCAAAGTGGTTGCTAGTTGCCCTTTATTTGTGTATGTTTGCGATAAGTGTGCGTCTTTGCGCAATGCTGTTGGCCTTGCTGTTTGATATATATTGTGCCGCAGGCCCGCAGCACGTGACGGTTTTGTGTGCCCTCCCATGAAAATCATATGCCCTCCCTTTAGATTTGTTCTGGCGCCGGGTCTGTACCCTGTTATTATAAATTGCAATCTAAAATGGTTTTATTCTTTTTATTTTTCACAAACTCACACACACAGAGAGAACTTCAGAAAATATTTTTATTTTAGAAATTGTCTCAAAAATGTTCAATGTTGTAGAAATGAAACTTTGGCATCCCAGCAGAGGAAAAGTGTCTCTTCTTATTTCCATTTAAACAAATGAAAGACATCGTAGAGATTCCTACATGTACTTTTTACAAATCTGTACATCTTTTTAAAGTCTCGGGATTATTTGAACACGAAACCTGAGAGCGTTATAGTGGGTGAAGAGCTGAACACAACAATATGAATATTGTTTACAGGCAAGAATACAACATGTGGAAAAAGCAAATAATAAATTGATATTTATTCGGCTTTAAATTCAGCAGTGTTTCCTATGATTGGTAACGAAAGCTATTTCTGCAAAACTGTAATATGAACTGAAGCTATAAGGAAGAATAAGCAAACCCCCTTTTCGGGGCCAGATAATACTTGTATATAATATCGATCACCTCCAGAGTCTATTCGTTTTAACACTTTTCTGAAGATATAGCTTCTTAAAAAACCCTAAAAGCAATGGTGGATTATAACAATGACAACTTTGGTCAATTATCTTATCCATATATATATTCCTTTTCACACTATGATCCAACATTATATCTGAGATGAAGTGGTGTTGCGTAATTACAAAAATAAGGCTTTAAAAAGGAAAATTAACGATTTTTTTTTGGATATATCAAAATGTAAAGAGAGATAACTTGTCTTTCCACCGAGCGTCTGCTGACGAACCGAATTAAATCTGCCGAGTGTGTCTTTTTGGTTTATTCTTACGCGTGAACTAAGTGTTGTGCAAGCTGACCTGGATTTCTGCAGATCGACAACTTTCTGTATTTGCTCTGTGTGTTTGAGATAACACACAGATCCCATTTCTCACACTTGGGAAGAGAAAGCGTTAAATCAGTTGGTTTTTAAATGGAATTTGGTGTGATATTTTTGCTCCACATACAGGAGATATAAGGCACATTACTGTTCTTCTTATGGCACTGCTGAACAAATCTCCAAATTGACAGTTAATTGAGAAGCTAAAACAAAAATGTGGAGGATACGAAGCATCCTGAATTGACACGAGAGCGCTTAAATTATAGAAAACATAAATAACATTGTATAGCATATGAACCTCCGAGAGTGTAAGCATCAAATTGCTGGATTTATGAATGGAGATTGGTGGAGCATTGTTACCGAGACGATTCAGGTTTATTCGAGACTTCTTTGTTCCTTTTTAAAAAAGGGAAACAAACCAGAATCATCCTTTAACACAATGTTTTAGTTTGAGCATGCCACCTTTATAAGATGGCGGGAATGAAAGGAATGTGGATATAAAAAAAACATCCAAACCGAGTCACACTGCATGTTTATCAGCTGGTCTGGAATCAGTTTGCAGTAGTTCAAGCACACAGGAAGAGCGGAAAAAGACTCTTTGAAATAATAATAATAATAATAATAATAACAAAAAAAGTGATTTTTCATAATCATCCACAGAAAGGTCTGCTTCTCCCACAAACTCATCCACCATTAAAACAATTAATGATTATCCTGCTTGGGTTCATCGAGCAGCTTTGGCTTAAATCTTCTATTACAGTTTGGTCTTCGTCCTCCTCTTCTTCGTCCTCCTCCTCCAGCAGTCTTTGGTCAATCCTCTCTCTCTCTCTTTGTGATTCATAATCAGCTGACCGTAATCACTCCTCTGATCCTTCAGCGGACGACGCTCATCTGAACAGATAACAGAAATCAGATCGACATGTCACAGCGTGTTAAAGTCCAGGAAACGTTTCTATATCCTGTGTTTGTTGTTGTGGTGAAAACATTTACTCTACATAACAATCAAAATTCAAAATAAAGTATAGTTGTGTCAATCTTCTCTTTTTCCTAAACTGATCTCACCGACGCATTTAAATCTTTTTTGGAACATTTTATTTTTTACTTAAAAAGTCCCACTGTTCTTCATCAATGTATCACAGGTCTCAGATATATCCAGAGCCTGTCTCTGATTGGCTGAAACAGATCATTGCAGCATTACCCATAATCCCCTCTGTTTCAGCCCTGTTTCCAAAGTGCTGATTCTCTGTCTGTTACTTTAGATGAAAATAAGGAGCCCCTCCCCACGCCCCTCTGAGAGACATTTGGTTACAAAGAACACAATGGTGCTCTAGGAGGAGATTCAGGTGATAGGGGGGGGGGGGGGTTACCTTGGTTACTAATGGTTACTCAAGCCAAAAAATCGTTATGACATCATAAAGTGGCCAAAATCTGATCAGCTCATTTTCAGACAGGTTTTTATAGAAATGGATCAAAAAGAGAGAGAATCTTTGTTCCTGAAACTTTCAGAGTCTCTTTCCACAGAGGGGACACGTGTTGATGTAGAAGAGACATGAAGAAGAGGGGACACATGTTGATGTAGAAGAGACATGAAGAAGAGGGGACACATGTTGATGTAGAAGAGACATGAAGAAGAGGGGACACATGTTGATGTAGAAGAGACATGAAGAAGAGGGGACCCATGTTGATGTAGAAGAGACATGAAGAAGAGGGGACACATGTTGATGTAGAAGAGACATGGAGAAGAGGGGACACATGTTGATGTAGAAGAGACATGAAGAAGAGGGGACACATGTTGATGAAGAAGAGACATGAAGAAGAGGGGACACATGTTGATGTAGAAGAGACATGAAGAAGAGGGGACACATGTTGATGTAGAAGAGACATGAAGAAGAGGGACACATGTTGATGTAGAAGAGACATGGAGAAGAGGGGACACATGTTTGATGTAGAAGAGACATGAAGAAGAGGGGACACATCTTGATGTAGAAGAGACATGAAGAAGAGGGGACACATGTTGATGTAGAAGAGACATGGAGAAGAGGG